GGACAATACCACGCCCTCTACTCCAATCCACGCCCCTTCACACGCTCTGTCGTCTGCAGGGGTAGTGACAATATATTGATCGAATAAGACCACAACCAGAAAATTCATCGGGTATACTGATTTGCACTCAAGTGAGAGAAGACTTCTCCAAGTATTAGTGTACAACATTGGGGGATTTTCTCATCCGTCTTTGATAGAAATCCATTCTCTGTATGGGAGATAGCTAAGAATTAGCAAACAACTAGGAGGCTCACTAAAGTGAGTTGTCGAAACGTTTCTGTTCTGAAGAATCCAACGAAGCAGTCCACGCCAATCGTAAAATAATGTAATATGCCTATCAGCGTGCATTTTTCATTGGGGAACTCCCCACCACTTCTTTTCCTTATCACTCTCAAACGGGACGAAAATCAGTGAGCAAGGTGCCGCGATATACTTTGCCCCGCCCACACTGCCAGAGTGGCTACGCATTTGATTTCCACTCGAACTGGCAATATTCCAACAACTTACTATTTCAGTTTCAACTCCCCACGAAAACGGTCTCACGAAAGCGAGATTTTCAGTTTGGAATATCCGCTGCCTCGCAAAGAACATTTGTTGAAAATTCATGTTCGAACAAAACCTTTCAAATAGTGGAGCTGCTTCTTCAGTGGGCCCAATATAGATGATCCGACCACAGGCCATCAGGCAGACACTGCAATTACAAAACTCAGTGGATCTAGTGCCCCCCCCCCAAGCTCTTTCTCGACACTCACTCGTTGAATAGTGAAAAGACCTGACTGCTCGGTTGATGAATAGTAATCACCACAGTCATTCCACCATCGGCCAACTCTCGTAAATCCGCAACAACGCGACCTTAACAACTTTCGATAGGTTGTTATGAAAAGCGATAGTAGTTACCTCCTCACTTGCCATGAATGCATCCAAACCAGATGTTGGTTCATCGCAAAACAGAATCTGTGGGCATGTGAGGATCTGAAACGTAGAGATTGAATTGACAGCTTTCTCACAAAAGTTCTCTCTTTCTTCAGAGGCACACGTTTGATTACCTCTCCAACACGTCTTGATTACCTCTCCATGTGCGTGGAGCAGGGCACATCATTAGTTGGAAATCTTGGTCGAGTCTGTACGACCCACCCCCTTGGCATGATAGGATCCCCCCTAGTTCTCTAATCTGATACGATCGAGCTGTCGAGCGGGGGTGGGAGGAATACAGCACATGTGAAACCGAAAGCACCACGAGAAAAGTCACCAGGAAAAAATTTTTCCAACGCCTCAAACTTCTCTTGGAAGGCGAATACGACCCCCGCCCCCTCTCCCAACGAGCAAGTACGACCCTCCCTTACAGACAAAAAATCAACTTATCAAAAAAAATTTCTCAGACCGAATACGACCCCGCCCCCCTTGCAGCGTCCTCAACGACGATGTGCCCTGGCGGGATGACAAATACACAGCCGAGAAAGTAATGAAAAAGTAACTCCCGCCCAACCGGCTTTTATTCGAGGTCGGGGCAGGGTAAAATCCCCTCAAGCCATACCTCCGAAGCGAACGACAGTCGCTTTTGCTCTCCGCATGAAAGCCCTTTGATCGAACTAGAAACTCCAATCATTGTATCGGCGCAACCAGAAAGGCCCATCTGAAATGCCTACAATGAAAATTCTACATAGCTCCTTTATGACGTACGGCTGAATCTAAGCCGAAACGGTGCACGGAAAGTGTTCGGAGAAAAGTACGAAATGACCGATTGAACAGAGTAATTTCAGAAATATTACGAGCCTTCCTTATCACATCCTCAACTCGTAGCTCCTGCTCAGCACTTGTGTATCCAGATCCCATTCGCATCTTTGCCTAAAATGAAGGCATTCATTTTGTGATTGCTAGCCGTGCTAAGTGTCAACTGGTACAAAAAGTACAAAGTCATCGCCGTTGATCAAACCCTTTTCAGGATGCGGCACGCACTCTACTTCATTTCAGATCGTGATGGTTCACTGAATGCGATGTGGAGTGATTTTATACGGAGTGATTTTCGGGGCCAAGCGAGATACAGAGTCAGAGTTCTTGTCCTTCCAGGACAATCGCTATCGATTTGTCGTTCTTGGAAGGTGAAGGATAGGTTAGCTTGGGCAGCAATGGATCCCGGAACTGACCCGCGATCGTACGCGCGGTAAGCGTGTCACTTGCCACTACACCAACCCTTCCTCACCAACTGTCAGTGTTTTATTCTCTTAGAGCAGTCTGGCACCAAGTTTACTGTCCGTAGACAGCGACTGGCTCATCGCCTAAAAAACGTTGACAACGCCCTGAATAAAGCCCTCGGTTCCGAATACTGGAAGAGCGAGACTGCGGGCGCGAGCAAGATAATCGAGGCGCACTGCACGGCCTCACGTGAAGATGGGCAGCACGACAGCATTGCCCTCAGACATGTGTAGATGTTGGTAATAAGGTATCAGCTTGCTTTGTGCGCTCTTCTGAGTCGCAAAAAGTCGACTTCTCC